GCATTGTGGGAAAGAGTGAATGCCTCGCGAGGTATGATGGAGCCTTGGGATACAGTGGTTAAACTGCAGTACTGTAATGAAGACTCTGCTCATGATTTGAGTTAGGTCCCGCACTCAGGTAGCTGGCTTGAGGTTGATTCAGGTTTCTATCCTTCCGAGGTTCGTAAACTGAGTACCCAGTTAGCTGGGGGGGGGCAGGTAGGCAGGTAAATGGTAGCCTGCATAATTAAATGATAAACCGCCTAGAGAGAGTTTTAAGCACCATGAGGTGATATATAAGCAGCACGTTTTGCTTTATTTTTGCTTTGCTTTATGGATGAGCGTAAACCGACAAGAGTTGGGCAATCTATAATCCTCCCAGTGGTGTGGGACTGTCATTCCCATCACCCCTCACTATTGGCTGTGTGATTTATGCCTGATGAGAGTTGTAGTCTCGTAACGTACAATGGGCTGCAAGATGACTATTCCAGATGTGACTGTGAGAACGGACATGTAGTATCGGACATGTTGTGGTATCAACTCTTCTTCGTCTCCCAGTTTGGAGCAACCGGATGTTGTGCCGCAGGCACTACAAGTTTGAGTGTTCCACATTGAGGAAACAAAAATGTAGAATTTTGCAAGGGCACAAATTGTGGAGATAAATATGAATTTTAAAAAACAGTGTTCATATAATTGATTTCTGCTAGTCATGAGGATGGTAGAGTTGTGGGAAAATATGCTCCATCTGGCTTTAGGAATTTGCTCCTAACTCCCCGCACCCCATAAATTAATATAGTGGTGCCTCGCTTGACGAGGATAATCTGTTCCAGCAAAATTGCTGTAGAGCGAAATCCTCGTCGAGCAGAATAAAAAAGCCAATTGAAATGCATTGAAAACTGGTTCAATGCGTTCCAATGGGCAAAATACCTCAGCGTCCAGCGAAGATCCTCCGTAGGGCGGCCATTTTCCGATGCCTGTGCAGCGAAAAATCCATCCTGAACACAGCGGGGAGCCATTTTGAACAGCCGGTGGCCATTTTGAAAAACCGACAATCAGCTGTTTTGATCGTCGTAATGCAAAGAATCAGTTCGTAATGCAGAGAATCGGTTCCTGCAGCAGGGAACTGATCGTTGGGAAACCAAAAAAGCTCTTTGAAACATCATTTTGCGATCGCAATAGCGATCGCAAAAACATCTTCATGAAGCGGATTTGTTGTCAGGCAGGATAATCGTTAAGTGGGCCACCACTGTATCTTGATACTTAAGAGCGAGAGAAAACTTGTAGCCCTGACTTCATATGGGAATGAAAGGAAGGTATGTGTGTTTAAAATTATTTTATGAGTTAATCTGTATCCTGACTGAGCTCAGGCTGTATTGGGCTTCTCTTCCCTGTATCATCTCGACAGTCCTGTGAGGTAGGTCAGGTTGAGAGACTGTGACTGGCTCAAGGTCATCCAGGGAGTTTCATGGCTCTGCAGAAACTAGAGCCTCCAGCTCCCAGCTCTGAGAGCAACAAGGCAACTCATAGATTGTGTTCCTTAATCCTCCTTTAAAAACCAAACCAAAACAAAAACAACTCAGGTAGTTGAGAGGAATAACACCAGGACTAGAGAGAGAGAGAGAGAGAGAGAGAGAGAGAGAGAACAGCGGAACACAATAATATTGAGGGGGAGAAAACTGAATGTGCAGGACACCAACCAATGGGCGCCTTTCTCTCTTTGTCTTCTCCTCCCATCCATCCCGGTGACTTTTCTTCCAGCCGATCTCTTGCGAGTGCTAAAGCGTCTCTCTCTCTCCTCTCTCTCTCTCTTTTGCTGCTGCATTGTGTTATGTGCTGCGAATTTTTATCAGTCCTCTCCTTTTTTTTGCGAGAATGTGATGGTAATACAAATGAAATTGCAAAGTGAAAGACTCGCACACACACAGATGAGCGGAGCTTCCAAATGGCTGGCACTGAGGCAGTCGGCATGCAGAATCGTGGGGAGAACAGCACCGCAGTGGTGGGAACGGGAGGGTTCAAGATATCAAACCCCGACGGGGCGCCTCCCTTGCCTGGGGTTAATGTTATTAACTCTTCATAGTGTGAAGGTGTTTGAATTGTTAGAATCCTGTTGCTTTTAGCTAGATATGGAAGGGACATTTTGGAGACTGCCGTGGCTGATGGATGAAGTGCAGGCTGCATGTTGGTTATGCTCCCAGTCAGGCAACCAGACATGTCCAGAATGCACCTCAGTGGCTTCCATGCTTTTGTTTCGGTTACAGAGAGAGAGATTCTGGTCTATGTGCTTTATATACCTATTACTACAGTAGTGCAGGAAATCCATATTACATCACTCCCAAGCATGCATTTGCACATACTATTTTGCAGTTTTTAATACAAAAGCCTGTTCTGTGATGTCACAAAGACCATTCCCTATGACATCTCAAGTTCCGACTCTCTGGTTTCTGGTTTTGGCCCTGAAAGCACAAGAAGTAGGATTTTCCTGACCTAGCAATCCTGACTGCTGTTAGTAAAATAGACCGTGCCTGTTTGCCCCTTAGATAACTGGGGGATACCTCACACCCTCACGGGTAAATAGCTTATTTCATCCTGCATACATAAGAAATATTTTCCACCCTTTTTTGGGTCGGAGGGATCTGCAGACAACCTTGTGGTTTGGGAGGAAGTGGAGCCCAAATAAAAAAGAGGAGCCAGCAAAATTAATTGCCCAGTGTGGATTTTCTGCTTGGATTTCTCATGTCGAGCAAGGTTTAAAGAACCATACCTTTAACACTGGCAGCAGGGAGGAGAAAATGCTGACTCCATGCAGCCATGCAATGCCGGCGGAACGTAGTTTTAATTTATTTCCCATCGCAACTTGTTTCCCTTCAGCTTTTTGTTCTGACAGCAGTAGCAACAGCAGCAGAAATTCAAAAAAACGATATCTCGAAAGGTTGAACTTCAGCCTGTTAAAATAATAAGAATAAAAGTGTGTTTGTGTGTCTGTGGAGCAGAGTGGCAGTGGCGGTAGGGAAACGGTTGTGATAAAAACAGCTCTTTTAAAATGTCACTTTGCAAATGTATTCTGCTTGCTATGGGAAACCAGTGAGGTTTATAGGGGACAGGAAGATCTAGACTACAAACCTGGTTTTAGGTGACTTCAACTGTCAAGGCATTTTCTGCCAAGCCTCGTGTATTTGATAATGATGCTGGCCATTCTCCTTTTGGAGAACAGAGTCTGAAACAGCCAACATCCCTCGCTGTTATAGCCAGTTGTGAGGACTGATGGGAGTTGTGGTTGAAAACTGGAGGGGCTGTCCTTCACTTACTCTGGCTTTGTACAACTTCACTTCCAAGGACTATGATTCTATTATTCTACTTGGGAGAAGAAAGAATTGCAGCTAAATTAATTTGTCCAGCATAGCTTTCTCCAATCTAGCACCCTCTAAATGTTTCAGACGACACTTCCCATCATTTCTGAATGATGAGCATGCTGAGAAGGATAATGGGATTTAAAGTGTGAAATAAGTGGGTGGCACTAGGTTAGGCCCTTGAACCCCCCACAGGCTCCATTGATTCATTAAAGGTAAAGGTTCCCCTTGACAATTTTTGTCCAGTCGTGTTCGACTCTAGGGGGCGGTGCTCATCCCCGTTTCCAAGCCACAGAGCCAGCGTTTTGTCCAAAGACAATCTTCCGTGGTCACATGGCCAGTGCGACTTAGACACGGAACGCTATTACCTTCCCACCGAGGTGGTCCCTATTTATCTACTTGCATTTGCATGCTTTCGAACCGCTAGGTTGGCAGGAGCTGGGACAAGTGACGGGTACTCACTCCGTCACGTGGATTCGATCTTACGACTGCTTGGTCTTCTGACCCTGCAGCACAGGCTTCTGCGGTTTAGCCCACAGCGCCACCACTAATGATTCATTAGTGCACCAATTTGCTTTTCAGGAAGCACATGATGAAACTGGGGTGTAAAACCATAACGAAGGCAAATACAGCTGGCCAGCGATAGGCAACCCAGTGTCGTCTCTGGAGGTCTGACCATTGGCTGTATTGGCTGGAACATAAAGGAGTTGTTGTCATCTGTAGTCAAAATATCTATAAGACACTAAGAAGGAGCCCATCCACACTGAACATATGTTTAACTTCTTTTACATACATGGTCCCAGTACTGCATCCTAGTGTTCACACAGTGCAGGACTGAAACTAGTGTCAACAGAGTAAAAGCAGATCAAAAAGACTTGCTTTCTGTTTTGTTTTTTTAGATACCTCTTCTCTCTCTCTCTCCCTGTATTTTTGTTCTCCTTTGCTCCCATTTGCTCCAGTGCAGGATGGGCCCGCATAATGCATTTTTTCATGCTGGTCTGTGCATTTTTAAGTGTGTATCATTTGATGATGTTTCCTGATGGGCATTTTTTGGCACGTGGCTTAAGAAAAAGGAAAGAGAGGAGAGGGTGAAGTGGGCCAAGAAGATAAGCAAAGTGGGAGGACAATCTGCATTGGAATGAAATGTTGAGGAGCAATTCTGGACCTGCGTGAACGGCTGGTACTGGGATCCCAGTAGATCCAGTCACAAATACTCTCCCTGTGCATGCGAGCAAATACTGGGGTGAACTATTCCAAACTGCCTAAAGAAGGCAACTCTGTTTAACTGCCTACAGTAAACGGTCAGATTCTTCTAATTTATACTATTAATAAAGTGAATCTCGTATGACTCTTAAGCCCCATCAGGTTCTAGGGAATTTCTGAAGGCCATTGAATGCCACCGGCCACCCTGGCTGAAGCAAAGCAGGGTTTGGTCTTGATGATATCTAGAAAAGAAACTCTCTGCAAACAAAATGTGTGGTCCCTTGGTTTCCAATTATAAAATCAGTATTGGATCTATGTGCAGAAAATAAATATCAACAGTATGGGTCTTGTTGTTTCATTTGCAACAGGTTTTGGCAATTAGCCTTCACAGGTAAGCAACTCATTATTTGCAACCACTCTTTCTATTATAAGTCCCCCTTTTTTGTTGTTGTTGTCTCCTTGCCATAGATCAAGGTGAAGGATTTCATTGCCGGGAAGAGTGTCGAATCCTTGGCCATTCTGACCGTTGCTGGATGCCGCGGAACCCTGTCCCCAGTCGAGCGAAATCCCCCGAACACGGAAGAAACGTCATGTCCCTCTCTATAGAAGCCACGACTGTGGATACAGAGCTTTACGAAGACTGTAGCACAAAGAGGACTTTTGCCACCTTTGGCAAGGATGGGAATGAGCCCGCCTCCGAGGAGCGAGGTGGCCCGGTCAACGTGAAAGGTAAAAGAACAGTGGATTTGCCCATCTGTAGCCCAAAGGTCAACGGCGCAGTTCGGGAGGCAGGGAACGGCTGCGAAGCTGTCAGTCCCATCACCTCACCCGTCCACCTGAAGAGTCCCTTGTCGGGGAAGCCATCAGCCTCCTACAAAATGCACTGCCCAGCAAGCCGCGACCTGGAGCCGTTTGTAAACAATGGTCCTTCTCGGCCCACGGAGACGGAGCTGAGGGGGCCAGACAGTGAAAACATAATGCATGAGATTAACCCTCTTCTGCAAGAATGTAGAGAGATAGACTCTCCAGGAATGAAGAGGCTTAAAGACATAGTACTCTAAGCAAGGCCTTGGGAAGGGAAGAAAAAAAAAGGAAACCACTGAACCCGGATGTGTGTGTATCGTTTTTAACAGCTTACCAATGGTTCACAAATCTGCTGTATTTAAATGCTTTCCCTAAATGTATTGTTTATACAAATGAAGCTATTGTTCATGTGACAATCCCACTTGGTTCAACAGGAGGCAGGGGCGTTTGCAAAACTAGCATTTGGTTTCTTTTCTTTCGCTTCTCGTTTTTCCCGGTGGCAGGGGTGGCGGCAAGGTGGCCGTTCTGTTGAGGGAAGTATTATCAACAAGGTATTTTGCATTTCTATATTTTTGTAGCGCACCAGACCTCTAAATGAAGATCTATTTAAAGAAAAGAAAAATCTTAAAAATAATAAAATTAATAATATTGGATCCCACCCTACAGTCCTGTCTAGGGTTAGTGCTAAAGTTTATTTGAACCTGCCCTTTAATTTCACCAGTGGGGTTTCTGTTCCTCCTGATGCAACAGTGAACTGGGCACTGGATGGTCTCATTCCACTCCCAACAGCTGTGATGTAGTTGCAGAAGCCATAATATGTAAGTTGGAGCCTCCCTGGTACAGGAGAAAACTCTGCACGCAACCATCTCTGTATGGGCAGCCAAACCCCAGGGAACTGTGAATTGTGGTGGATTGCACTCCTGACATGCCCCTGCACTCAGAGCCCAATTTCTGCCTTTCAGATGTTACTCTTTTACAATGAATTACCCCTGCCTTCTTTGGAGTCTTTTTGCTGCCACTTGTTTCTCTGTACTCTTATCGTACTTGGTATTGCAGATTCCTGTATGTCTAGTGATGGGAAAGGCTTTCAAGCTTATTGGTCCCCTTGTTTTCAAGTGGCTTTCTACAGACAACAGAGAAACAATCCGAACATAAAACTTGGGGAAACTGAAAATTTTCATCTTTTCACAGATCCTTGTCATATTGCTAGACAATTCTCTCTCTCTCTTTCTCTCTCTCTCCGCCCCTGTGTGGAGTTTTTTCCCCAAGTTGTTTAGGGGTTATTCTAGCATCTCATTTGCAATTGTTAGATGCACTGTCTTGAAATTTTTATGAGGTCGATTTCTGTTTCTTTTTCTTTCCTTGCAGTCTCATGGAATGATAAAGCATAATGTCCCCAAGACACTATGTATTGATTTCAAAGTGTCAATCTTCCCCAGCCCCCTTCCCGCCACATATCTTGAACCCAGAACAATGGATTGATTTCAGTGTGCAGTGCTGTGCCACAGGTAAAACCCTTACCCTGTAAGCATTCTGTGATCTTTAAACATTTCTGTGACATTTAAATGGACTTGCCCCTAATGTCATCCCATTTGTTGGTATGTTGGCATGCCAAAAATCACTGGCTCAAGAATACCACTGGGTATTCTAATGCTATATGAGAATTGGCTTGTAGAACATTGGAAGATATGTGGGCTTCCAAGGGGTCTTGGACTACAGTGTCCCACAAACTTTCATCACTATGCACGCTGAATAGGATGGATGGTAGCTATAGCTGAGCAACATCTAGAAGAACAGCTCTGGGCTAGTTAATGTGGTACGTCCATGTCAGTACAGAAACATGGAATGCTTGGCTGAATTCAAGCTTATCCCGACCTCAAGCGGTAACTACATGCAGAGATGGCACAGTGGCTCTTGACATGGTGGTCCTTGCTCATGTCTATTCCAGACCTTCCTGAATGTACAGTTGCAAGATGGGTATACAGGGCTTGTAAAACTATGAGAAGGATCTTGGAATCGTTGTAGATCACAAGCTGAATATAAGCCAACGATATGATGTGGCTACAAAAAAGGCAAACACTATTTTAGGATGCATTAATAGAAATATAGTCTCCTGCGAAGTACTAGTCCTCCTCTGTTTCGCTCTGGTTAGGCCTCATCTAGAGTATTATGTCCAGTTCTGTACACCATAGTTTAAGAAGGATGCAGACAAACTGGGGCAGGTTCAGAGGAGGGCAATAAGTATGCTCAGGGGACTGCAAACCAAGCCTTGTGAGGAAAGACTGAAAGAACTGGGCAGTTGAGACTTTAGAAAAGAAGGCAGCGGAAAGGTACGATAGCTCTTTTCAAACACTTGAAAGACAGCCATACAACAGAAGAGGGGCAGAATCTGTTCTTGATCATCCCAGAGTGCAGGACATGTAATCATGGGCTCAAGATACACAAAGCCAGATTTAGGCTCAATCTCAGGAAAAACCTCTTAACTGTTAGAGCAGTATGACAAAGGAGCCAAGTATTTCAGGAGCTGTTGAGCAAGCCAGCACTTAAAGCATTCAAGAGAAAACTGGTCAACCATCTGTCTGATCTGCTTTGATTTGGATTTCTGCATTGAGTAGAAGATTGGACTCAGTGGCCTTATAGGCCCCTTCCAACTCCGTAATTCTGTGCCTCTGTTACTTTAATACAGGAACCGTGCTTCCTTCATTAGATCCTCCAGATGCTAAATTAAGCTTGCACGTTTATCCTGTGGGCCCCTAACGTGTGTGTAAGGGAAAATGTAGAGAGGCGAGAAGAAAGGTTGCAAGCCATATTATTAAATGACCTTAAGAAGAGTCATTGTGCTGGACACACTCTTGGACTCTGTTGGCTCTTGGAGAAACACAGTTGGATCCTTTCTTAAGAGAAAGGCAGCCTCTCTGAGCCTGCCCCGGGCAGGAAGGGATTGATGAGTCCATTTGCTGGATTTGTGTCTATGCATCCTTAGCGAGCTGGCTTTTGAGTGGTGGCATAACGTGTGGTCCGGACTCCACCTTGGTAACCTGAAGGAATTAAGCAGTGGAAACTGTCGGAGAGCAGAGCGATTGCATTTCTCCGCATATCTACTCAGCTGCCCAAACAGTTGTACTCAGCATGGATTTTCTTCTTAGGTAGTGCGTTGCAGAATTGCAGCTTAAATGTAAGGATGGTGCTGATTAAGCAAATGTGCCTTTGGTTTGAAACAAACAGATCAATGAGTCTCTGTTCCCTTTCCGTCACAACCAGTGATATAGTGGGGCCAAGGCTTGCAGGGTCACAGTGGCAGGATGATGGGTCATCTGCTGTCCCCACCCCAAGATGTCCTTCTCCCTTCTGAGCTAACCTTCATTCCAGAGAAGATGGGTGACTCTGATTTCACTGCTTTGGGTTTGAGTCTGACCTTTACAGGAGCTCTCAAGGATGCTGAATCCTGGCCCCAAATGAGGTTCAGCACCTTGGATAACTCCTGTAAAGTTCAGGTGCAAATCCAGAGTGGTTTTGCCATTCCTTTGAAATTGGAGCCACCAGTTTCTATTGCTTCGGTCTTAATAGTAACTGGAGGTAGGAATGGATTTTACTTCTTCTGTACGTTCTGATTACTTTTTGCCAAGAAAACCCTGGAAAAGGTTGCTGTAAATCAGAATCACATTGATAGCACTTAATTCCTGTTATTATACCAGTTATGGGGGTGGTGTGGTTTTGAATGGTTATAGAAGAATCATGCATTTCACCAAAGATTTGCTCCTAGCAGAGATGAAGGCTTCTAAAGTCATTTTGGTTGATAGAGCAGTTCCACCAGTTGCCTATGTTTGTGAGCTTCCCTTCAGCTAGGAGGATTATTCTGATGAAGGCCTAACTCTTCAAAATAGACTGTTACACCAGTGGGCATAACTGTTGCCTGTTTTGTGTGGCTGCAAAATATGGAGACAGGAGACTGTTTCTTTGCCTCACTATTCATCTAAGATGACATACTCTCCCTGCATCCATAAGCAACAACTGCAAAAAAGAAGGGGTATCTTGTTCATTGAATGGCATCTCTTTTCTTCCCATTAGAGAATATTTTCCAGCCTGGGCTAAAAACAGGTTTCACTATTGTTCTTCACATTTGAGAATATATATTTTTTTGCCCTAGAACATAACTTCTGAGAGCACAGAGATCAGTGGGAGAGGAAGCATATTGCTATTTCAACACTTGCTCTGCCAATCAACAGAAAATAATGGTTTCCAGAGAAATAATCTTCCAGACTCTAACCTATCTTGATAAAAAAAAAAAAAGTTTAGTCACTTTTGATTTATTTAAATTAAAAAAATGGCTACAGGAAAAACAGCCTCCAATCTTTATCATCCTAGAAATCAAATAAGCTGGAGTAATTTCTTTTCTTTAGAAAAAAGGTAGAGAAAATGGATAGGGCTCTGCGTTCTGCTCTTCCATGCAGTTCTCTCATTTACAGACTGTCATCGTGTTTTATTTTTCTAGTAATTTGAAATTGCATTTTTTTTTTAAAGAGAAGAAATTTGTAATGCAATCACAACCACTTCTGATTGGTATAGCTTATTACTAACCCTTGGAGACATAATCCTATATGGGACCTGATTCATGGATATTGATGGTGGTGTAGGAAGGATCCCCAGCACCGGCTGCCTTGTGCGGCTGAAAAGGAGGAGATAGAACGGGACAAGAGGCCAGCCCTTTATTGAGAAGAACCGATGAGACTTCCAACACGTGGGTCAATGTAGCAGTCTTAAATGCTGTATAGCAGGACGTGTCAGGAAACTGGCTTTCTTAGTCAGCCTGATTCCTACAAGTCTGGCTTCTGTTATGGATATCCTAGCTTGAACTTTCTGGTGTCTGCACCTCCGACCAACTCTGATTTCAGTTTCTGTGGCCCTTGACAGTCTGTAGCTTTTCCAGAAAAAAATATTGCATTGGGTTTTTCTCACATATGGGTGGTGAATGTTGACCCTTAGCCATTAACCCCATTGTAGTCAGTGGAAAAGGATTTTGGAGCTGTGCAGTAGGATTCCTTTATCCGCAGGATCAGTATCCACAGTTCCACTTATCCATTGCCTGAAAATATTGAAAAAACTGAAAAATACATATTTCTATGATGTAATTAGTAGAACTGGCCACTAGAGGGATTTAGAGACAATGATAAAGATAGGGTTCACTATTATCCATGGTTTTTGGAATCCATAGGGAGCGTGGAACCAATTATCCACGGATACTGCAGTCCTGCTGTATTCCAAAACATCTGTTGGGCCAAAGATTTTTCATCCCTGGATTAGACAATGTTGACCACGTTTTTCTAGGGAGTGACGTTGTGACTGTAGGATTGACTACAGTTTAAAATTATAGTATCTTGCCCAAAATCCTCTTGTTATTCATGAAGATGAGAAACTAACATGAATGAACATCTGTTCTTTCCTTCCTTACATTTTCCACTGCTACAGCCCATATATCGTTCCTACCATTACTTGTGACTATTATCATCATGGGTAGGGTCCATCCATTTTTCTAATACAGTGGTGCCTCGCTTGACGAGGATAATCGGTTCCAGCGAAATCGCTGTAGAGTGAAATCCCCGTCAAGCGAAATAAAAAAGCCCATTGAAATGCATTGAAAACCCGTTCAATACATTCCAATGGGCTGAAAACTCATCCTCCAGCGAAGATCCTCCATAGGGGCGGCCATTCTCGGTGCTTGTATACCGAGGAATCCATCCAAAAACACAGTGGGGAGCCATGTTGAGCAGTTGGGGGCCATTTTGAAAACCCAACGATCAGCTGTTTTGATCATCGTAATGTGAGGAATTGGTTCCCGAAGCAGGGAACTGATCCCCGTAAAGCAGTTTTTGCCCATTAAAACATCGTTTTGTGATTGCAAAAGCAATTACAAAAACTTCATCGTGAAGTGGATTCATCGTCAAGCGGGGTAAGCGTTAAGCGGGGCACCACTGTACTGGATATGTGCAGTGCACAAAACAGAGTGGGGGTTGAGTCATAATTGCAGGCAATCAGATTCCTGTATGGAGGATCTAATTCTGCTTTATTGATGAGATTATTTGCTCATCTAGTCCAATATTGACTGCACTGGCTGGCAGCAGTGCTATAGGATAGAAGAGGTATCAGGCATCACTTACTACTTGATCCTTTTAACTTGAGGTGGCAAAGGTTGAATCTGAGTCTATGATCTCCCAGTGAGTTAGGGTCCCCTCCCATTGGCCTCTGTGAGAGTCACCATGTTTGTTTCCATTTGTTTGGGGAAAGTGTTCTTAATATATGTTTGCTCAGTGGATGCAGAGTACTATGAAGAAAGTTGGTGGGGCAGTCTCCATGCATTCCCCCATGGGCTTCTTTGCAGTTGCACTCCCACTTGAGAGAATGCAACTTCTGTTAATTTCGTCCTATGGAAACAAACTTGAGCTAGTTTTTGTAGCCTCCAAGCACCCCAGAATTATTCAGTTAAAAATACAGTGGTGCCTCACAAGACAATGTTAATTCGTTCTGCAAAAAACACTGCCTTGCGAAAACATCATCTTGCGGAATGCGGTTCCGCATTGGAATGCATTTAAATCTATTTAATCCGTTCCAATGGAAAAAACATTGTCTTGCGAAAATCGTCCATAGAAAACATCGTCTTGCGGAACGCGGTTCCCCATTGGAATGCACTGAAATCTATTTAATGCGTTCCAATGGGGAAAAATCGTCGTCTTGCGAAAATCGTACGTAGAAAATATCGTCTTGCGAAGCGCCACAGCGATCGCAAAAAACAATCGTTTTGTGAGTCACCACTGTAACTCCTTCCAAGCCTTGGTGGTGGCTGAAATTTGGCAGCAAACCACAAATCTGCTGCTGCCTGTGTATGGCAAATAAATAGTCGCTTTACCTTTTGTTAGCTGCGGAAGTGTTTTATGTCTGGTTTCACCACCGTGGTTGGAGCCATCTGTCCTTGCTTTTAAAATAGGGCCGAGCTTTTTCTCCAACAGCACACAATTCCTTCATAATCTCAATTTGGGAAAATGATCTTAACATGCCTGATCTCTTTTCCTCCTCACCTTGCAGGAATGTTTCCTGCCATCAACCTTGCACTGCGTACAGGTTGCATCTGTACAGCCTGGTCTGATGCGGAGCTTGGCCTTTTTCCTATCAGGTAGAATAAGGATGTGATTTCCGGTAGTGCTTTTTA